TTTTTAGTCTGATGCACAATGGTTAATTCAATTCATTTTGAAGTGTGAGAGAAGTAACTGCATGTATTCGTCCCGAACGGTCACGGTACGGACGTCACAGTTCGGTTCGTGCAGTCAGACGATGAATACAGCGACGATCAATCCAGAATGGCGCACGCACGGTAATGCATCGCTAACTGTCACAAAAGGAAAGAGTAGAAGAAGAGACGATTTATGTGACACCAACCTAAAACGAGAACGGTGGCGAGTTCAGATTTTAAATCTGCAGTGTGCGAAAAATTTCGGGTTCTAGAGATAAACCGGTCGACCAGCCATAAATCGGAAAAATTCGTTTTTTTTAGTTTTATTTTGGCCTATCTCTATCCAGGAATTGCACACAAACTGTATGGCAATCGTTTACCAAAATGTAATTTGTGTGGAAATATTATGAAGTCTGCAAACAGGACGCTAACAGAGGATGCTAAAGAAGGACGCAAAGAGGAGAAAACACTGTACCAGGCAGATATAGAAAAATATCAATATTGAACTGGGGGAGGTGGGTTATATAAATGTATCTTTGAGGGAAACTTACTATCTTCAGAAAAGTTTTGATGGCATTTTCGTTTCCACTTACCTCCATGTTATGCAAATTAAAGTAGTGTTTATAGCGCAGAGCTGCTTTGTTTACAGCGGTAACCGCTGCTGTTCCATAAGCGCCACCTGCTGTCAGAGTATTATATTTTGTTAATATTTTGAGGACATTTTTGGTACCAAGTAATATGTGCAATAATAATGATCTATTAATGAACATTTAAAATATAATATTTTCTAATATATTTATTATTTTATTTCAATGAGTGCTATTGTCGCAATTAAAGTGTTGCTCACGTTATCTAACTGCAATTATAGTCTACCTATTATAACGATAAACTATCGTTTATATAATGTGCTTCATAAAATAAAAATACCACTACTGGTTAGATTCCTGAGGTTAACAAATGTGTTAAAATATTTTAAAAATCATGTAATTTCTTCAATGTACCAGCGAGTGTCCCTGAGAAGCACTGAAATGAATGGGCTTCAATGCTGGTACTCCACGTTCCCGTTACTTTTCAACGGCTCTGATCAGACCGAGCGCCACAACACTGTTTTAGCCAATCAGAAACAGGGTGCGTTTACGCTCATAATGGGGAGGAGTCATATGGAGTGGGGGTGGAGTCAAAGAGTGAGCGAGCGGGAGATTTGTAGAAAGAAAGATGGCTGAGGCATAAACAAAGAGAAAAATTGCAGAGGAATTTAAAAAGGATAAAAAGGGTTACGATCAGGCAAGTGTTTGGACCCGCTTTAATAAAAACTGAAAGCTTTTCCTGCGCTGGAGAGACGTTTAGCCAACGGGAAGTCGGACGGACGCCGAGGTCGCTTTGTTTCTGCTCAACACGTGAGTAGTGTTGCTTTTGCTAACTTTGCTAACTGTTGTTGTTGCTACTGTAGTGGCAGGACGGTTTTGAGTGTCATTGTTGGTCTGGAGCTCGTGTGTTGGAGACAACTCTTGTATACTCTTGTGGCATTGCTGCTTGATTGTTCATATGTATTATTATTTTTCTTGGCGCCTATAATTTGATATAGGATGCATTTGATTGAAGTAATTAACAGGCTAGCAAATTGTGTCTCTGGAAAATAATAATCTATGGCAGTGTTTCTCAACCAGTGGGTCGAGGATCATTCCGTAGGGGGTCGCGAGACTTTCTCTGTGTTCTCGGTGTTACACCGGCACAGTAAGTGCACTTCACAAAAGGCTCATTGAAACAGTGACCTCCAACGAATCGTATTTTCGAATGTCGCATGTTGAATCATTATTGCCATAATTTCTAACGCTGTTTCTAAACTGTCCTATCACAATAATTTATCACTGCCGCGAACGTCTCTTATTGGACAAGGTCCTACTCTCTTTACGTAATGTTACACACGCTAGCAGCTGTTTACCCCGTTGCTTGGTAACGACGGCGCAGGAGATTGCAATGCATTGCTATGCCAGACCTACTATACACAGCCACGGCCTGTTAGCTTGACAAAATGCATCCGTATTTTAAAAGGAAAAAAAGCAGAAGATTCAGAAACTCCTTCCACTTCAAAGGCAACAAAATGTAAACAACGCAAGTACAACCCAGACTATATTAAATATGGATTCACTGCGTCGGACGAAAAACCACAGTGTGTTGAGTGTGGTGAGGTCTTAGCAAAGGAGTCCATGA